ATGTGAATAGGCCAGGGTAGAAGGGGGGATATCATAACTGTTTAGCACACGTTTGGTCAAAGGATGGGCTTCACTTATGTCTTTGACGAGTTGTAATATGGTGCTACGAATGGCGAGACTCACTGACGATGCCGACTACGATGCCAGCAAAACCTCTGGGAATGTACTACATCCACGGTCCTACTCTGGAAATGATAATGCATACAATGGACTCCGGACTAGGTGCGTTCCTCTAAGTCTTCCTACCAATATGACTGAGTTGCGAAAACAAGGTCAAACAACTTCTCTATAAGTTAAGTTAAGAAACCACCTTTCCTAACGTCTCAGTCTAGGGTCATTAACGTTTAACCACAAAAGAAAAGGCATGATTGGGCTGCGTAATCAAGTACGTCTGGTTTGGTTGACGAGCTTAATCTAACATGTTAGCTAGTGTAAGTGAATTTAGAACCATCACTGAGCGGACAAGTTGATTGGAGGCTCAACACCTCTCTCTCTTTTAATCTATTAATCTAGCATAAGTAATTCTTCATAGATATGAAGATCAAGATGGCCTTCTGTTGAACATAAAATTGGCTAAGGAGATTGCCTACATTTGTCAATGATAAGTTGTAGCTCTATGTTTACGATGGCACCTGTCAGTGACGATGCCCAGCCAATGGTCCAATTCTGGAAATCACGAATACTATTTTAGAGGACATGAGACTAGGTACGTTCATTAAGGTCTCCCTGACGCTCCCACCAAGTTGCGAAAACAAGGTCGAGCCAACACTATAAGTAATTCTTACTCAACTTTACACCAGCGTTCCTCACATTCAACGTATTACCTAACCTCTTAATTTTAATAGCAGTACCATAATCAGCAAACCTACTCGTTTAAGACCATCTCCAGTTTTTGCCATTACTTCCGTCACTTCTGACCGATGGACCCAACTCCATTTATAAGCATTTTTGTGTCGCCCAGTCTTTGTCTAATAGGTCTGCGTGTCTCACTAGCATAATGCTGACCACAGGAGAATACAATCTTGTAGCATCGTGATCTCGTTAATGGGTCATATATCTCTCTAAAAGATGGCATACCTGAAGAAAGTGTGAGGATTTATCTGAACACTGTTTTGATTCCTCCACTTCCTCAGTTATATCTTTTTTGAAAGAAGGTCTGACGGCACAATTTGGACATGAGAAAAGATCTCCTCTTGTCTATCTTTGACTAAATAGTCTGCGTCTTATAATTCTTTCATTGTATTTTCTCACTAGCTCGATGTAATTGTAAGAATGGCGCCTGGCACTACGATATCTGCCATTTTACAGACGATAGCTCAGGTATTCACTGGAACTGAAATAGATTTTCTTAAGAATTGTGTAAACGACTAAGTGCCACTATACCCATAGTCAGACTGACATATAAATCTTTTTTTATACACTTTCACTTGGAAATAAAATGAACTGCTCAGCATGTTAGCTTTTAGC